AGAAGAAAGGAAATCCTAATGATCCGAACAACTATAGAGGAATAACATTGCTTAGTTGTCTTGGCAAGCTGTTTACAGCAGTCTTGAATGAGCGACTTACGTCTTATCTTGAAGATAATGAATTGCTAGGTGATGAACAGGCTGGTTTTCGAAATGGTCATTCAACGCTTGATCACATTTTTGTTCTTCATTCAGTGATCGATTTATATCTCTCTTCAAAAGAGAGGGTTTATTGTGCATTTATTGACTACAAGAAGGCATTTGATTTGGTTGACAGGAGTTCTCTGTGGAATAAATTACTTAAGAATAATGTTGATGGAAAGTTTTTCAATGTAATTAAGCATATTATGTATGCTCAGGCTAAGTCATGTGTAATTTCTGGTACAGAAAAGTCTTCTTCATTTGATTGTAACATTGGTGTGCGACAAGGAGAAAATTTGTCTCCGATGCTATTTGCCCTTTTTTTAAATGACTTCAAACATTCATTTGTGAAAAGTTTGGAGGCATACATATTCTTCCTGACAAGATTGATGCAGCTGCGTATCAAAAAGGTATAGATGTATATCTCAGGCTTTTTACATTACTGTATGCAGACGATACAATAGTTCTTGCAAAAACTGAAAGTGAACTTCAGCTTGCTCTTGATGCAGTATCTGATTACTGTAAAAAATGGTTTCTTCAAGTTAACACAGCTAAAACCAAAGTTGTTGTATTTTCTCGTGGTAAAGTTCGAAAAATTCCTATATTTAAATTTGATCATGATATTGTAGAAGTTGTTGATGAATACGTCTATCTTGGAACTACTTTTACTACAACAACAAATTTCGTAAAGCTCAAATTAAGCAACTTAATCAAGCTAGACGAGCAATGTATAGTCTATTATCTAAATCTTATCAACTGCACTTACCTATTGATATCCTCTTGGAATTATTTGATCAACTTGTGTTGCCCATTCTGCTCTATGGAAGTGAGATATGGGGATTTGAAGTGCTACATGATCTTGAAATTTTCCACATGAAATTTTGTAAGCAAGCCCTTTCAGTCAACAAAACAACTGCAAATTGTATGGTACTTGGTGAATTGGGGAGGCTTAAACTTGAGAAATATATCGAAAGCAGAATGATAAACTTCTGGTGTAGGATTGTACATAGTGGACAGGATAAATTTTCTGGTAAGGTGTATATTATCTTAAAATTACTCTTTGAGAAGAATATATATCAGGCACCTTGGTTAAAAAAAATCAAGCTGACTCTGGACAATATGGGGATGTCTAATTTATGGGAAATTTGTGAAAATACTAGCTATGAGTGGGTCAAACAAACTGTGGAACGTCGATTGAGAGATTCTCATGCTCAGTATTGGTCTGCTTGTATGTATGATAATTCGCATTGTGTTAACTATCGAATCTTCAAACATTCTTTATGTTTAGAAAGATACTTAATCGATCTCATTAAAAGAGATCGGACAATATTAAGTCGTTTTCGCTGTGGCAATCATTACCTGCCGATTGTAGCTGGTAGATATTCAAATACTCCAAGGGAAATGAGGCTATGTACGCTGTGCAATTTGCAATCGCTTGGGGATGAGTTTCATTACTTGTTTGTATGCCCTACCTTTCGTTCAGAAAGAAAATTGTTCATCGATAAATATTTTATTGAAAGACCAAATACACTAAAAATGGATCAGCTTTTTAACTCCAATAATGTACAAACACGTTTAAACTTAGTAAAATTCTGTCGAAAAATAATGCTTCGTTTTCATTAATTTAAGTATGTGCAAAAACATGTTATGAGTTCAATATTAACTTTATGTTTCTCTTTTTTTGTCTTATATCAATTTATTAAATTGATATCAAGAATATTTTCAGTAATTCATTAATTCAGATATCAATTTACTGGTGCCAGTAAATTTCTTTTTCAATTGCTTCCATTAATTTCGTCATTAATTATCGTTTTAATTATTATCGTTTTGTTTTTGATTATTATTATTATCATCATCATCAATATTGTTATCATTATCATCATAATTTTTCTCACTATTGTCGATAGTGTTATTTTGTATGGATTAACATTAATTCTATTTGTATTGTATATTTCACAGTGTTTAATTGACAAATTCAAACTGATTGTAAACTTCTCCAATACCCCAATGTGGGTGACATGAGAATAAATTGTCATTGTCATTGTCATTGTCATTGTCATAATTTGCATGGGCGCAATCTTAATTTACGCATAAATACATGACCTCTAGGTCATTGGCTTTGTTTAAAATGGCGCCCACAACCGTAAACTGGTGTATTGCCAAGAGGATTTAAAACGGAGGTTCGGGGAGGGTGTTACATCAAAATAATGCCCTTTGATGACGCTCCTGCTTTTGAATTATGGAACTCTGAAAATATTTGATAAACAACGACATACTTTACAAACAACAACATGATACCACTTGTTTATACTCTTTCTACTCTTTATTCTGATTTCAGTTCACGATGCATATACATGTACTCGTTTATTAGTTCATGAAACATTCATTAATATGTTTACATTGAAAATATTTAAAACCTAAAAGAATGGTCTGTAAGGCAGGTACATCAGGTGTCATGGCGCATTTTATGTTCCTCGTGATAATCAAATATTAATACAAACGAATTTTGTCTCGGGTGATAATGAAAAATACTACATGTAGACGTGATTGTATAGACCTACAGTGTGTATGCAAACGGTGATTAATACAAGATGGTCTTAAAGGCATTTGAAAAACTTAAATATGATACAAACACCGTAAAAACATTTTAAGTTAAAGGGATAGTTGAGTTCTGTTTTCAGACCACAAATACCTTCAAAAAGCGTGGTTATTGCTCTTATTCTTATTCTTATCTTTGACATTTCTAGTGCCCTTTCAGAACCTAAAATTGCTATGAAGGTAATTTTAAACCCCAAAATGTGTGAAATTTAGCCAATACGATCATACCAATTCAGCTCCACTTTAAAAAAAAATACGGTGACCATTAATTAATTATTTAATTAAAAATAACAATACATGGGCCGGCTGGTTGTGCATAATGTAACCAACACGAAAATGCCAACAAAAGCTAACATCGGCATTGGCTGAAATACGACGTAAAAAGGCGCTATTTCGTTTTTTTCAACTGCTGTTTCAAATTATCTAATATTTGTGGTGGTACACAATTATTATAAATCGTTATATTTATGAATATTTCGGCCGTCTCTGAACCGATTTAGATCAAACAAAGATGATTTTGTCATTTAAATTGTATGTTCTTTCGACTTTGACACTCAGTTTTTCATTATCTCACCAAAAAATATTTGTGAAGCGCCCTCTGCAACGAAACTCATTTATATTTCAGATTTTAATAAAATGCAATAACTTTCACTATTGGAACTGACTTCCACGATTTCATTAAATAAACTAAATAAAAGATTTTACACTTTTATCAGCTCTTTTAGACAATACTGTTTGCATATATTAAGTGGATCGCATGTGATACTTTGATACATTGTAATACTTGTAATATGGGCAACATCACATAATAAACCAGCGTATATAGGAATATAAGATAATTATTTGGATCTATACTCCATCTATCGATCTATTATCAATCTATTAATCTATCAAACTACATGTATGCACAAAATTGCTTAAGTAATAAGTGAAAATCTAAAAACATTTAAAATCTAAAGTATTTTTGTTTTAACAGATATTATCTGCGACATAATCCCGATAAATTGCAGGGAATAGACCAGTTCACGGTTAGCACATTACTGCAATGACCCCGAATATCCACAGATCTTCAAAACATGAAAAGGTCCCACATTGTCCATTTTGAAATAATCACTCCTACAGCGAAGGAGGTGCTATATAAATAGCCTTTGTTTCCCCTGTTCAAAGAATACTTCCACCTGTGTATCATGGAATGCACTGAATGTGCATGAATAAAAAATGATTAAATAACTTTCATGAGCACGTATCCAGTATTTTGTCTCCGTGTATTTCAAAATTTGTTCTGCAATGACCTGTATCTGCTCATGCTCAGACTGCAACCGTGAACTGGCTTATTAATATAGCACCAGTTAAGGTCACCGGTAAGACATGACAAGAATCTGGCTCTCACGTAGGAACATCGTTTTTCATACAAAATAAACAAAAGTCCTGAGCATCGTTTCGCGAGACCGTCAAAAGTACAAACTTATTTGTCGACATCGCCTTCAAGTGCGTGCAAGACCCTTTAAAGTGTTGGGAGCCCTAAAAAGTCGATGGCAAAATTTCACTTGAAGTATATCATAATGTGAAAGAGGATGTCATTTAAGATACACTTCTGCTAGGATTTTCAAAACATATGTGTTTGAAGTCGAAAATTGATAAAAGAATACAAACTTATGATTTCTGCGTGGTTTTCTGTGAAACACTGCCCTAATAGTGTTTCATCGAGGGGCCCGCAAGAAGGTCGCTAATGCGTGTCATTCTTACCACTGAACTCGAACACTATACATAGCGTTAGAGAGGTTCTTTTACGGCCTTTTTACATGCAGGCAGTTGACGTATGGCCGAGATGAATTTTCCCGGTATTGCAATTTATCGGTATTTCTTCCACGAACCCTTTATGACGAATTCACATGCATGCTATTAAATATTTTCCTGGAATTAAATCTACGTTGCAAACATTAACATATTGCTGTGGAATAAAGATCTTTCTAGTCATCAAAAGCCCATTTGGATTGCATAAGAACTACCTAGTACTCAAGCTTATTTTGAAAATATTTTAATAAAAAGAAAAAGAAGAAGAGAGAAGAAGGGGAAAACGGGAGGGGAAAGGGAAAGAGGGAGACAGGAGGAGAGATAACAGAAAAAGAGAGGAATAGAGATTAAAAGAGAAAGAGAGGGAGGGAGAGAGAGAGAGAGAGAGAGGCAGAGAGAGAGAGAGAGAGAGAGAGGAGGGGGGGGGGGGTCGAGGGAGGAGGAAACGCGGAGGGGGGGGGGGGGAAATAAGAACTTTGTCCACATAAATGCTCATCAAGTTGGCTAATCAACAGGTCAGTGAGTGTTTCAGCAAATACAACATCAGGGAGAGAACGAGTAGATGGAGAGGACTATTCGATAGAGTTACACCTGCAGCTGCATGTAGGAAGAAAAAAAAAGAAATCAAAGGAAAACAGATTAATAACAAATCGTTATACATTGCTCTCTGATATAACAATGAGCATTAGGGCTTACGGGTAACTGAATATTGTTAGTACTTTTACTTGTATCTTGAGAAACAGTAATAATTTTCTTTCTGTTTTCTGTCTGATCACTTCTTCGGCCATTAAAAACAAAAAATGTTATGAATTGTATTTCGTATAACCAGTTGAAACTTATCAATAACGATTAATTCACGATACAAATATAAATAAATTCTCCAGTAAAGGTAATGCAAAGTTTTGGGAAATTTTGAAAATTGGATGGATAGTAATTTTTTTTCTCAATATTTTGATATATTTGGTTGCCCCTGCGGATGTATCATAATCACTAAAAATTTAGCCCCTAACACTTCTGCTTTCGAGAAATTAAATATTCAATCGGTGCTCCAGGTAATTTCAAATATTTCAAATATTTCAAATAGCGCCTGAGGCCATTCCATGGTAGCTGCGATGATGAAAATATCAAAATATGCAGTTCGGATAAATAATTTTCAAACGACAATAGCAAATCGGTCGATTGTAGTCCAGAAACATTGTTTTAAAGCTAAGTAATATTAGTCTTGTGAGGAGATATACAACATAAAGAGTTTATTATTTAACAATTTCATCGCTTTAGATTCGATTTCTACCGCGACAACGATTATTGAACATTGAACAATTGCATTATGCTTCTAGTATGGAGAAATGCAGTGAAACTCATTTTACCTTCGTTTCATCAGAATCTTAGGAAAGCATGGATAGATATGAAAGAATATGTTAAAACAGAAGAGAGATACAATGGGAATGAAATATTGTATAAAAATAATTGTATTCAACTAGAAGGTCAAACCTTATTTCAGGAAACTTTGTTTAAAAAAAATATTTATCGACTTCATCACATTTGTGATGAAAATGGAGAATTGAACCTGAAGCTCATTTTATAATGTTAGGTTTGAGCAGAGTGGAAATTGATAAAGTAAACAAAATTTATAAAGTAGCCCCTTATGAACAGAAACAAAATTTTCAACCTTTAAGAAAGTCAATTCACACTAGCTTTAGTTCAAACGTGGTATATGAGAGTCAAATTAAGAAGAATGTAGAAACAAACTCGGCAGGCTGCAATTTAATGTCACTTTATAATATTTTAAGAAGAGAAGTAGAAAAGATATTTGTTCAACCAAGGAAGTGTACCTTAAATAGTGAATTGCGAGAAATTCAGTTCAAATTGTTGCATAAGATTTTATATACAAATCATCATTTACGTACATTCAGGTTTCATGAAAATGGGTTGTGCTCATTTTGCAATTTTTTGAAGAAACGTATCAACATGTATTTTTTGAATGTAACAAAATAAAGGAAGTCTGGGGAAATGTGCAGATAGACTTAATTACCAATTCTGAAGAAATTATCCTGGAAATAAATCATATAGGAATAGATGACAGTACTTTAAAAACAGAGCAATTATTGAACTACATTTTGATTTAAATTAAATTCATGATTTTTCACAGTAGAGAGAAGGGAAACCCTCCAAAAGCAAAGAAATAGAATATAGATTATTGGAAAATAGAAATGAAGAGAAAAAAAACTTTCATCGGAAAGAGACACCCTTTCAATTCATTTAAGGAAATGGGAAGCCTTGGAAAGTTTAGAATAAATGTTTTCTGTTTTTAATTTTTCTCAATATAAGGCTTCTAGACCCTCCACTCTTCTCTACCCTTGCTTTTTTTTTCTTTGCTTTTTCTTTTGTTTGTTTTGTTCGTTCTATGCTGGTGTGTGTTTTGTGTGTATTGTTGTACTTGTTATGTGTTTAAATGTTGTGTGGGGCGGGGGGGGGGGTAATAGGTTCTCTAGCTATTTCTCTTTTATTTTTTATCATTTTTTTATCTTTTTATCATAACCCTTTTTTTTTTTTCTTCTGAAGGAAATTTAAGAGGAAAACAATAGTGTGGAAAAGAAAAGAGCACAAACTTTATTTGCGATTTGTTTAAAATGTGAAAATATAATTTTGTTATGTGAATGTTTTTCATCTGTAAATGTGTAACTTTATTTGTAACCTTGTATAGAAATGTAAAAGTTCACTTGCAAATTTATTTAGACCTATATGTGAAGATTATTTTGTTATTTTGTATACAATGTTATAAGCTAAAATTTTCTTTATGAGAGAAATGAATAAAAACCTATGAAAAAAGAATGTTCATTTGAACCAAATTTACAACCCCACACAAAACGTTTAATTAATTCCATTACAAATCATCAGGGCCGTAGCCAGAGTTTGATTTTGGGGGAGGGGGGCACATACATGTAATGATCGACGTCCTGGAGAGGGGTCTATAGAAGTTCAACCGATCTTGGATTTTTTTTTTTTTTTGGGGGGGGGGGGCACGTGTCCCCGTGCCCCCTCCCCCCCCCCCCCCCCCGTGGCTACGGGCTGCAAATCATAAACCTTTTTTTTGCGGTCATGAGTATATGTCCATGAAAATTAGATAAGAAAAACAGCCATGACCAGAATTCACGACATGACAATATTTTACCCCTATCACTGAAGGAAATATGTGAAGTGATGAAGACATTAGGGACTTTTAGAATTGCACGTTGACAGCCTTGACTGCAACGTGTGAAGTCATTTTAAGGCACTGCGCATGCGTCACGTCGTCTCAGTCGGCGATCGAGAATGCGTCAACCTTGATTTTCCTAAATCTAGTACGGAACTAGTATATGCCGCGTGCGCATAAAATATACAGTTCCTCAGGTAGACAAAGGAACATCCCTTCCCTGCTATTATGTAAAATGTGTAGAACAGGTGTCACATGCATGTTCACCTTTTCTACACATTTTTACATAATAGCAGTGAAGGTGTTTCTACCACGTAGCAATAGGCCATTTTCGTAATGTAACCAAATTTAATGCACAGGTCTTTGTGAAGTGCCTCAATGCAAACTATTTCATTCACCTGATAGGAATAATAGTATTTCAATAGACAGAATCCTAACTGCATACATTATAGTTGTTGCCAGCTAGGTTGGACAAACATTATGGCTTGACCTACCTAGCAACACTTAATATATGCAGTTGAATTCTGACTATTGAAATACTATTATTCCTATCAGGTGAATTAAATAATTTGTATTGAGGCACTTCACAAAGACCTATACATTAAATTTGGTTACATTACGAAAATGGCCTATTGTTGAGAGTAGAATGAGGAACTGTATATTTTGTCCTCTTTCTTTGTCTGTCATGTTCATATAGTGCATGTACATGCATGTATATCGTTGAGTGCAATCTAAAAGATTTCTAATTGTAGTCAACATGGGCAGTTGAGTACGTTGACACGCATGGTCAGTTGGCGTTCGTCGTGTTCTCGTCCACTCATTCTAAAAGTCCCTATTATAAAGCCTACCTGAAGTGGAGGGCCATCCGACTACTTCCTCGTTTTCGGCATTGGTTCGTTCTAGCCATTCCATGAGGGGCTGAAAGTATTCCAAGATGGCGTCTGCTTTCATCTCGCGTTGACCGGTAAGGGCCTCCATTGCATCCTGCCAAGGCATGCTCCTTCCCATCGCCAGCATGTCACTTGATAAAAGGGATAAATTATTGAAGGCATATTGATTATCAATTATTGGTAAGTAGTTCATTGATGAATAGTCAAACTGCTGATCACTCTTCAATCACTCGCTCACTCAATCAGTCAATAATTAATCATTCATGCCATCAATCAATCAATCTACCAACCAATCATCTAGCCAGACAATTAATTAGAACTGTTATCTAACCAAATAAGCAACCAATAAACCATAAACTATCAATTATGATCAATATGCTATTGCCTAACTATAACGATCAATGAACCTCTCAACCAACCAACCAACCGACGAATACATCAATCAGGTTCAACCTATCAGTCAATCAATCATTCAATCAATATTATTAGTCAACCAACCAGTCAACCAATATTATTAATTGACCAATCAATCAATCAATTTATATATTGATCAACTATTTATGATTAGTTGATTAATAGATAAGTTGATTGATTGATTGGTCAATTAAAATATTGGTTGACTGGTTGCCCAATCTATCAATCGACCCCCAGTCAACCAATTAATTGACAAATCAATCAATATATCGATGAATAAGTACTAACTAAATAGAATAAATGAATAAATAAATAAATAAATAATAATCAATCAGTCAATCAATCAATCAAGGATTCAATATATTAATCAACCAGCAGGCAATCAATTACTGAATTCAACCAGCAGGCAATCAATTACTGAATTCAACCAACAGGCAATCAATTACTGAATTCAACCAGCAGGCAATCAATTACTGAATTCAACCAGCAGGCAATCAATTACTGAATTCAACCAACAGGCAATCAATTACTGAATTCAACCAGCAGGCAATCAATTACTGAATTCAACTTATTAACCAATCGACTCTGTCATGATCAGTCTTGGAAAGAACAATTTGAGCATTAAATCAGTCAATAAGTGGGGTGATCAATATGATAAATCAACCATTCAGTCCGTCCATGACCAATTCATCAACAAAAGGTCCACTTACTCGTACCATTTCCAAGTTCATTGAAGAAAAAAATGGGGAAATTTAACAAAGTTAACTTAATTCTCATTTCTCAAAATCAACATTTTGTCTTCACACAAAATAATATGACGTCTGACCACCAACTTGAAAATTTAATTTGACAACACTTACCCGAGTTTCTTCCCAGCTTCTTTCGAATTGTAGAAGTCACAGGTGTGGAGAGGGCCAGTGTGGTTTGCTACCTGACACAGACTCTGATAAAACTGAAACTGCAGAATTGTGCGGATGTAGTAACTGCGAAAACAGTAACAAATTTAAAAGTAAAAGTAGGCTACACTCCTTTTCTGCCATGATGTTTATTTTCTTCTATTTGAAAAAATATAATCAGCTAAATTGAATTGAATTGAATTGAATTTGAACTCACATTTATTTCCTTCACATTATCGGTATTACAGTGTGGTAAACATACTAAAGATCAGTATAGGAAATAATTTCAAAAATAGAGAGGCGAAAACCGGGAAAGCGATTTTGGTGTAATTATAAATATAGGGAACGTCCATTATCTCTAATAACAAGTAACTGTAAGGACATCATAATAAATATATACTAGCATCTAAATAATTCTCTAATAACTGGCTGTGCTCGATGACAAAGTCGCCGGTATCCCGAACTCTACAAACAGAGGGGCGGGGTTCTACCTACCCAGAGTGGGCCGCGGGGCACGTAACTAACTACTTGTATTTCATTTTATTTTGTTGTGTCAGCCTTAAGTGTGCAAAGGTATTGAAGTGGCCACATCCCCGATAATTTCGCCGATGTTCGGGCAACCGTCACCTCATATTAATTTTTGTCCTTATTAAAAGTGTCCGAATTTTTGCTCGCTCGCAAAATTAAGAAAACATCTGTTTTGGGGGCTAGAGACATCAGCCTCGGGCGTAATTGTCCCCAACGCCTATATACGGGCGCTTCTCATCTAATCCAGGATAATGATTCTCTTTCTATATGTTTTCCCGGTCACATCGGAAGAGACCGACACCAAACCGACGTACCGAACAAAATGATACATGGGTACAAACTGGTCGTATATGGAGTCGGTTTTGAGTCGGTTTTTAGTCGTTGTGCATGGTGGTGTGACCGAGGTATGTGAAAGGACTACTCACCCAATAAAGGGGTAATCAATGATGAAGTGATACATCGCTCCTGGGTCAAAGTCGTCCTCTGATCGTTCGACGGGCGCATCTACGCCTGCAAGAGTATTTCTGTAAAAAGAGTAGAAATGAGAAGAAACGTTACCGTTGTCGTGAGGCATTATATTCTTAAAGATTGCCGTTGTTGTTGCTGGCTAAGTTCAGGACCCTGTCTAATAAAGAATTGCGATTGATTCAATTCGTTGCTTGATATTAATACTGTTGATAGTTATAATTAACGGAATAAAGATAGCAGACAACGTTTCTCTAACAAATTGGTTTCTAATATGAAAAGCAAAGTAAGTTTGTAAAAGGTGAAAAATCGCAAAACTTGAGTTACCACCGCAGTCGGCATAAAGTTATCTAAATCAACATCATGACAACACAACCATAGTGATATCAAGATTACCTAAGTTCCCACCACGGTTTCATAGAGTTGTCGACGTCATATTTGCCTCTCATCAGGTCCCATCTCCACTGCGATAACGAGAGTGTGAACGGCAAAGTCGCGATGGTGCTCAAACACGTCTTGAGTAGAAAGTTAATATCGTTTTCTGCAAGGATATTACATTATTATCACACCAGGATAGTGATGAAAGCATGGGCGTCAATCCTTACGTAATACCTATTGTTCAGGGGGGATGATCTATTCATTCGTCCCTCCTGAACAATAGGAATTACGTAAGGATTGACGCCCATGGATGAAAGTATCACTAACCGATGTTAAAACGTTTTCAAATACTTTCAAAAATTCAACCCAAAGCCCACTGCACACTCCACGATTGTCTTGCGAACCGAAATTTGGAAAAATGGCAATTGTATTGGATAGGAAATCAAAAGAACATCATCTCCCTGATTAAGCTTCTAAGAATACTAGCAACGCAATTTAGTGTATTGAACTCTTCTAGTTAAAATAAATCCGAATCGTCTTTAAATCGTAGACAACGCGCTACTGGTCTGACGTCGGCGCACTACTATTCTGAGCCGATTTAGCTCGGGATTTAGCTGTTCCTCTTCCATGGAAAAATTTAATCCATCGAAATACCTGAATCACATGAAAAGGCTATTGCGAATTCTTGCAAAATCGGGTCGTATAGTCGGGTCATATAGTCGGATCGTATAGTGTGCGGCGGGTTCAAAACCCTTGCCCAACTCCTGTGGAAATGATGTGAACATTGATTGTGTCAGGTAATCGGAACATTATTTCTTTGGGATATACCAAAATGTATTGACATTGCTATTAAGTAAATTTCTTGAAAGTCTTTGCGATCGTGCTTATGGCAATGAAGCAACTACACAGAAAAAAAAATTGCTGATTAGACTTCTGTGGCATTTTTTAAATTTTAAAACAAATCAGTAATTGGTTCAGTCCGATGACGCGGTTACTGCGCAATGAACTTTTAGGGATATATTATGCCCCGACTTTGAACACACGGCGTCTTTTCGATTGCGTTATTATAACCTGCGCCCTGCGAGCCTTTCATTAGGTAAAACACTACCTTTTTGTTGACTCTTCTTCGTTTTTGTATTCACTTTTGTACGATATCACTCTGACATGACGTTAGACAAAATGATGCCCACCGTGCCCATTATGCAGAAATTGCACTCAAAGTATAATTTTTGCCGATTTTGGACTGCGTCATCGACTGGTGTGATCTTTCATAGCTTCCGCCTTGTGTGAGAAAGGCGACGTACCTTAATGCAGAATATATTGCGTTGAAAAAAGCTTATGCACTAGTTGACTGGTGAATACATGCAGGCGCATACGCAAGATTTTTTCAAGGGGGGGGGGGGGGGTTTAACATTTATAAATCGGGCCGAAAATTTCTCAACGACTCAGCCAGCCGCTGAACAAGCGGGGGGGGGGGGGGGGGGGGTAAGGTCCGTTTTTTTCTCACCCTTTAGCACATTTTTCTTTAAACACATAAAAAAAATGGAGGGGGGGGTTAACTCCGACCCCCCCCCCCCCCCCCCCCCCACTCTGAGTACGCGCCTGGACGCAAGTAATACCTACTCAAAATGACGTACGCCTTCAGTTCATAGGGCAATACGGGCCACTTACTATTGTCGCCGTCCTTTAGACTTCCAAAGAGCGCAATCTCATAGAGATGTCGCCCTCACATGGCGCGTCAAAGACTGCGCCAGTTGCTGACGTAGTCCTACGTCAGCAATAATGACGTCTCATGTGCAATGCATGCAAGGAGCATTACAGCTAGGACACTTACCGGTGTCGCCATCCTCGAGGCCTTCAAACAGCCCAATTTCCTGGAGATGCTTGGGCGTGGATACGGAGAGGGACATGACCTCTCCGATGGCTTCGTGGAACGCACCGTTAGCCCGTCTCGGAACGGTACCGGTAGGTCCTTGTATTGGAGGAAGTACTGGATATGGCCCATCTCGTGGTGTGCTACCAAGAAGTAATGCATGGTGCTCTCCGTACACATCGCTATCCTGTATCAAGTTTACGGTATCATTCATATCAAAGTCAGGAATAATCAAACCCAAATTGATCTTCGAGTGAAATCCTGCAGCCCTCCCCCCCCCCTCCCCCCTCTGATTAAAAAATAATTCGACACAACCACGATCCCGGGAGATAATATATTCTTTATATATTTCTGAAATATTATAGGGACTCACTGCTATACCCGAAAGAATTTAGTTTATGTGGGGGTTGGGAAGGAGCAATAGTTCTACCATAATGCTTAAAGGGGAACTCCACCCTGAAATTAAAGTTGATTGTAATAGAAGCAGAAATTAGAGGAACAAGTCAGAGAAGTTTGAGCACAAACCGATTAGAAATAAGAATACCTTTGTATTGTGATATTTTAAGGTTGTGATCAATCAAACACAAATTAGCAACTCTGTGACGTATCTTGCGAGCTCCCATCCCATTTGGTCTTTACTAAAAAAATAAGAACATTTTAGTTTTTAATCATACATGCAGCCTAAACATAATTATTGCAAATATGTTTCTATTCAACCCTGTAAAGAAAAAAATCTCTTCCGTCATTAATAACAAGGAAAATGAAAGTTGATAAAATGTAATATGCAGAGCAAATTGGAGAGGAGCTCATAAGATACGTCACTGTCACAATAGTCACGAAGGAATGCATATTTGGTTTTATGTGGGGATGGAAAATAAGCATAGCTCCACCATATGCTTAAAGGGGATATCCACGCTCGCAAGATATACGTCACTGCAGGGGCGTACGCAGGGGGGGGGGGGGTGGGGGGTTGGGGGTTCAAACCCCCCTTTGGTATTTTTATGTGTGTAAACCCCCTAAAAAAAACTAACCCCCCCCCCTTTGTTGTTGTGTCTGTTGTGAGTGTCCACTTACCCCCCCCCCCCCCTGAGCGACTTTTCGGTTGGCTGAGTCGTTGCGATTTTTTTTTGGACTACCAAAAAAAAAAAGTGTCCGCTTACCCCCCCCCCCCCCCCCCCCCCCCCCCCCACAGGGGGGGGGGGGGTTGGGGGTTCAAACCCCCCTTTGGTATTTTTATGTGTGTAAACCCCCTAAAAAAAACTAAACCCCCCCCCCCCCTTTGTTGTTGTGTCTGTTGTGAGTGTCCCCACTTACCCCCCCCCCCCCCTGAGCGACTTTTCGGTTGGCTGAGTCGTTGCGATTTTTTTTTGGACTACCAAAAAAAAAAAGTGTCCGCTTACCCCCCCCCCCCCCCCCCCCCCCCCCCCCCCCCACACTGAGCGACTTTTCGGCCGGCGCGATTTTCAAATTTTCGGGAGCAAAATATTTGGGCCAGATTTTAAACCCCCCCCCCCCCTTGAAAAAAAATCCTGCGTACGCCCCTGCGTCACTGTCACATTTTACCTAAAATCATTCCTGTTATAAAAATCCCAAGCTGACGGATGGCAGGCAACATCTCTACCGTCGGAGGGTCGGGTGAACCTCGAGTTCTCCCAGAACTGTTCATCGACAGGAATGAGTCCCAACGATGTGAAAAAATCATTGGCAGTGTGGAAGATATGCGTGGCGTTGTAACCCTAGGAGGTGAAAAGAATTACTTCATATAAAAAGGAAGCAAATATTAAAAGCTGCAAACGCTTCAGTAGGCCCGCAGCCGTTTTGTATACGTACGATTCTTCGTTTGATGTTGATGTTCAACAAAGTGATAATATAATTAGTAACATTTTTCTTCTCTAATGGTACATCTCGTTTTGATTTTTAACTTTATGTCATTTCATAATTATTATCATTTCGTCTCTAGCTGTCAATATTGTCTTATAAACACCATTATATACCTCACTTAAGAAATCCAGCCATCTGATTGGTCGAAATTGCATTCATTAACTTTAACTATTTCTGTAAAATTCCCAATAACCATGGTTACCGGGAAAATAGGTCAGTCTCCATGGTTACCCCATAGGTTTACATGTTAAAAATGGTTTGAGCGATCGAGGATACCGTACGTGTGCGAAGAATTGGTCGGTATTTTCATACAAGACAAGACAATTCCAAACAAGAAAAAATGGCTCAAGAATCTCTCCCAAGATTTCAACTTATCAAATGCAAGACGCGCTGACAGCAAGAACAACAAAAGGGTACGTGAAATTATCCATAAACATGTTCGTTTAGTTGCTGAAAAAGCATAGACGTATAGGCCCGTATTCTGAAGTCGTGTCTAACTTAGCCACGTCTAAAGTTAACACACTGTTTAGTTAGACACGACTTAGACAGGACTTAGACGCGAGGTCGTGTCTAAGTCCTGTTTAACTAAATTTCGTATTCTGAAGTCGTGTCTAAGTCTCGTCTAACTAAACAACTGTTTAAGTGCTGTCTAAGTGGTGTTTAACTAAACAACTGTTTAAGTTCTGCGCAAGTCGTGTTTAACTCTTAGTCACGACTTCTGGGCATGCCCAGTAGGCGTTAATTGTGACGAAAGACCCAATGCGCATGCGTGCGCGCACCGGATAAATAAATTAACGCGCACAGCTAGCTGTGCGCGTGCTGGTACCATGGTGATGTGATCGTGACGTAATGACTAGACTGCATGTACTTTGTGTACGTACGCTAGTACACGTACTGCATGAGATTGACAAACACACTACTCATCGGTGCCTCAGTGCTCGGAAGAACCACAAAAGAAACTTCTCCAACAGAATGGTTAGTTTATTATAGATTATGGAATTTCCAAGATGTCACCAGTAGATAAGAATAGTTAATATTATCGAGAAAAAAAATTAGGCTACACGAGAAAAAATCCTGCAAAACGTATTTGAAATTTTGGAGAATGCACGTACCATCGTTCTCCCCCCGCAAGTTCGGGGTCAGCAAGTACAGTGTACCGTCGACGTTGAAAAGCAGCAGAATCGCGCCCTTAAACAGGACTTAAACAACCCTCGCAGTTGTCTAAAGTTAAACAGGACTTAGACAGGACTTCGTGTTTAACTTTATTTAAACACGACTTCAGAATACCAAAAAAGTTAGACACGACTTCGTGTCTAAAGTTAGACGGGACTTAGACAAGACTTAGACAACTGTTTAGTTAAACAGGACTTAGACACGACTTCAGAATACGGGCCATAGACTCTAGACGAAAATAGATCTAGTTGTCAGGGTGTCTGATCGCGCACCCGATGTTGTGTGTTAAAATTATTCCCATAGAGATTGTACGCAATGCAGTCCCTATGCAGTCTACGTGCATTCCGCGACCATGCAAAAAGGTCAAGTTTTTTTTTCAATTCGAGATTCAAACCTTTATAATCTGTTGTGGTCCTGAAGGTGATACTCAATAAGTGAGGTGTCAGATGAAAGCGCAGGTTCTTTTCCATATTCCCCACAGGGCCGGCCCACCCCAAAATTGTAAAAATATCTTGCTTAGACTAGAATCTAGATCTAGTCTACTCTCAAAGATACGAAAAATAGATCTAGTTGTCAGGGTGTCTGATCGCGCACCCGATGCATGTTGTGTGTTAAAATTATTCCCATAGAGATTGTACGCAATGCAGTCCCTATGCAGTATACGTGCATTCCGCGACCATGCAAAAAAGGTCAAGTTTTTTTTTCAATTCGAGATTCAAACCTTTATAATCTGTTGTGATCCTGAAGGTGATACTCAATAAGTGAGGTGTCATATGAAAGCGCAGGTTCTTCTCCATATTCCCCACAGGGCCGGCCCACCCCCAAAATTGTAAAAATATCTTGCTTAGACTAGAATCTAGATCTAGTCTACTCTCAAAGATACACTCATAAAAACAACCGTGCAGATAACTAGAGAAAGGCCAAGGTGGTGTCATTAGTTGACTCTTTTGTTTTCGGCATATAAAAGTATTATTGACTGCTTTAATATTCGAGAAATAGTTGTTTTTATACGCTCTCGGGAAGGTTACAATTGGGCTATTGCCCTCGGCACGCCTCGGTCAATAGCACAATTCTAACCTTCCTTGAGCGTATAAAACAACTATTTCTCTCAAGCAGTCATTAATACTATATTATCTATAATATAACGTTTCTCTTGTCAACCATGCTGTGAATGTGAAATGTGAAATATTGAAAAGTGAACTAGACTGAACTTGAATAAACTCACAGTAAATATATTTCATATATATGTTTCCTTCGGGTCGGATCCATGCTCTTATAACAATAGAGGGGGCATAAATATTAATACATTTAAAAGACACTTCGGGTCTAAAATTGAAAGGGATGGCGTACAAAGATACAACTATAGTGGACACAGAAGGGGGAGGGGATGCATGCCCCATCCGCTGGTGAGTGATTTTTAAGGACATTACCTGTTTCACCATGGTATCAGTCACATCTACGCTAGGACGATCGGGATAAGGTACCACCATGGGGTAGATTTTGTTCCAGAAACGACCCCACATATCACCTGCAATTAGACAAAGAAATTTAAGGAAAATATAATATCACTTTTACCAAACTGTTTCAAAATGATAATAGTTAGAGCCTTTCAAAACTTTTAAATGTTAAAAAAACGTAGGTTTGTTTTTAAAGTAGCTACGCTCTAAATGTACAGAATGGAAATCCACTTTTTGAATTTAAAAAATGAAATATAGGGGCAAGAAATCATATGCACTTTTGAAAAAGTTTGAAATTGAAAAGTAATTTACCAAGCACATTTGCAGGAAGATGCCCTCCTTTCACCTTGATGTTGTCACCGAACACCCCGTGCAGCCGCCTTCTGACATACGCATGGAGCTGCTTGTAAAGAGGCAAGATGGCGTCGTATATCTCGTTCACCTGCTCTTCGATGTCGTCACCGTACTCGGCTCTCCAGGCATGACCTTGGTCCTCGTATCCTGTAGTGTGTGTGGGTGGGTGTGTATGTGTATGTGTGGCGTGTGGGGGGGGGGGGCAAACATGAAAGGTAGTGTTGTTTGTTAGTTAGTTGAGGCCCATATTTTTTAATGACGTGCATCCCTTTTTCTTCGAAATTTCAGGTATATTTTATAACCTGCTTAGTTTTGGAAAACATGAGCATCGCTGTTTAACCCTAAAAAGGCCGGGCTATTTGAAGTCTTTATACTTGACGCATGTCAAGTGAAGTGTATAGAATACTATGGTAAATTTAATATTTTGAAAAATTCACTCATTTGCATATTTATGGTAATTTATGCAAAAAAGTCATAAAGTTCACCACTTACCCATAAATCATATACTCTTTATATTTAAGCATTCTGTATTCGACCATTTGAAACAATAATACTACAAAAAATTGGAAGAGTTCGGTTATTCCTTATATTATCTCTTGTTTTGATAATTTGTTTTTATTTAACTTATGTATTCCACTGTTTTTGTTGTTTTATTTCATTTCTAAATACATGTCAACTATTTTGAATCCCAAAACAACACCTAAACTTTAAACAAGACCCAATAACCAATTTTTTTCTCTTTTTAGGGAAAAATAACATTTCCATAATATGTTTTGTATACAAATCACGAAAATGAGCGATTTTCGGGCTGACATGCAAAGACAAAAGGTCACTTGACTTTGTAACTGTAGGTCCGACTTTCAAAAATATTGTTTTAAAAGATGCGCAAGACTCGAAAGAAAGAATTAGACGCCCCGGTCTTATAAGGGTTAACCCTGCCCTCTTTTTCTTCTTTTAAAAGTTTTTCTTTGTAAACGATATATTGAAAAGAGTCTCTTACTTCTCTCTTGTTTTTATTGAGTCCATGTCCGTTTCGATAATTTTATTTTTACATTTAGTTTTGAGCCTGCGTTGCCAGTTTTCAATTTGTAAGAAATGCCAGGTTCCTATTGAATGTCTTCATGATATACGGGCAGGTCAATGTTATTTTGTTCGTAGGCTTACTCTAGCGACCACATTACATTTTTAGATTAAGTATACTAATCATTGTATTACGATAAGACCACATAATGAAATGAAGTGACACGATTTATATGAACATAATGTTCCTAAAATGTATTCTAGAATGTACACTAAATGACCTCTCAACTTAAAGGGATTGTAGCTTGGCAACTAATCGTTAAAGCCATCTACGTCTTCTTTTCGACAACTGTACGGAAATGAATGGACTTAATTAACAGTACTCAGAGACTTAATCTCTACATGGTCAGCGCGCTAGCGTTCGCGAAACAGACCGGAGTTCTCACACTTCGGTTTCGCGTATACGAACGTGAGTGCTGCGGTCGCGTCGTCCGCGTACTGTAACGTGGTAATATTCGCAGTGTTTAAATTTTCGCGGATATCGCACTATAAAGTCGGTGTCCGCGATTATTAAAACCCGCGAATACATAAGCATGAATTCTTATGCGTGTTTTGAACGGGCGGAATTGCGTGCAACGCGAATTTAAGAACCCGGGGATATGTTTTGGGTCGCTCAGCAGATTGGCCCGTAGTCAGGCCACGGGAAAGACACGTATAGTTTCGTCATGCTAAACCCTTTAAACTTGCACATTGTATGTGTTATTGACTTGGTTATCCTTTCTTTTTTTTAAACAATTGGGCCTATTCATTATTTTGAAAAGCAATTGCTTATATACCGTTTGCCCTTGCTCCTTGGTTGACGAGTTGGACGTACTTTGCGTAGAGAGGTTTATTGGGTATACCCACTGCATCACGGAACCCCTTCCAAGCCCAGACCCTTTCGTCCCAATTCCTCGACGAAGCCATGATCGAATCCAGACCTATCGATTGAAGAAGAAGAAGAAGAAGGAAAAAAAAGAAGAGGAGAAGAAGAAGGAGATGGTGGAGAAGAAGAAGAGAAGAAGAAAAAAGGAGGATAAGAAGTAGGAGATGATGAAGAAGGAAGAGAAGAAAGGTAGAGGGAAAGTATGAAAGGGAAGAAGGAGAGAAGGAGACAAAGAAGAAGAAGAAAAGGAAAATAAAAATATGAAGAAGATAAAGGAGGAGGAGGAGGAGGTAAACAATTATTAAATTATTATGAACAGACGTTTTATTTCAGCTGTCATTAAAATGTATTTTAATACGGAAAACTGTTATAGGCAGCCCGCAATAAAGCAGGAAGCATAATAAAATAAAATGTAAGATATGGTCTATGAATAAATGATGATATAGACAAGTCCTCATCATATTAAGAATTCTATTCAGCGTGTACACAGAGTGACATAAAATAAATAAAGTTATACTGTACAAGAATGAAACATTACGTAATACAAATTTGACACTGTTCGGTTGAATATGTATCGCATGTTTTTGTGCAATTCGTATGCAAACAATGAGGCACATGTGGAAAATATGAAAAAAATTGAGAGACGTAAATAAACTCGTCATGATCAGAGCCATCTATACACAGAGTTTGGCAAACCCGGTTCGAGTTGGACACAATATGACGACTACTGGTTTGTTGGGCAAGCACAAAACAAAAGAATATAATAATAATAATAGCTAGTTTTTATATATCGCTTTTCAGGTCCGAAGGCCCTCTCAAAGCGCTTTACAGAAATATATATATTATTACCCCGGTCATCGGATTCAGGCTTACCCGCACACAATGTATGCACATTCTCCACTCCCTGGGGAGCATTCCAGCCAGGCGTCATTTTTACAAGCGCACACTTGCTAATCTAAGCACATTAGCTTTCGCATCCTACCGGGTACCCATTTAACACCTGGGTGGAGAGTGGCAAATGTAGATCAATGTCTTGCCAAAGGACATTAGTGCCGCGATGGGACTTGAACCGCGGACCTTGTGATCCACAGTCCGTTGACATTATCCACTCGTCCACGACAATATACGCCATGTCGGTGACCCAGTGACCAAGTTGGCCAGATTATATAGATGGCTCTGGTCATAATTATTCCGACCAAACTATCAAATCTTGAACGAAAGGCCCTGGACCGTGTCATGTTGTCCGGGGCAGGCGCGTACGCAGGATTTTTTTCGAAGGGGGGGGGGGGGGGATTAACATTTGAAAATTTCGCAACGACTCAGCCAGCCGCTGAATAAGGGGGGATGGGGTAAGAGCACTTTTTTTTTGTCCCGAAAATTGAAAATAAAAATTTTAAATAAAAGAAAATTGAGGTGGGGGGGGGGGGGGTTTCCTCCAAAACACACACACCAAAACAATTTGAGGGGGGTTCGACCCCCCCCCCCCTGCGTACGCGCCTGGTCCGGGGTATGACGTCATTCCGGACAACTCAATAGGTAGTTGGTCGGGATATGCAGGGTCGGGCTGTCCGTTTGTCGGGGCTGCCTGTCTTGGACCCTAACGGAAACAATAATGCTAAATGCATTTATTACCAAAATACTCACCAGGTTCCAAATTGAGACAGAAAGTCGCATTGTCGGGCTTGCACACCTTTCTCGTACTGTAAATCTCACTTAAATTTGTTAAGATAAGATTGAACTGTTCATGTAGAAAAAGATATATAAAGAAATAATTACATTCAAGTGTACCGTTCGTAATGAAGAAAACAGAAAGAAAATGATGATATTTATATGACCTTGAATTGAATTCTTATTTTTGTATGATTGTTCCAAATTTCACAAGATGTCATTAAAATTTTTCAAAACAAAGAAACAAACACAATAAACGAGTAAAGAGACAAACAACCAAACACAAACACAAACGAACAAATAATGAGAACATGTCAATATCAGAGAAGGCACATTAGGAAAACTATTATGGACAAATTAATGTTCTCCAGATGTTATCATGGGTGTGGTTAAAGAAAAGAAGAAGAAAAAACAAGTTAATTTCCTTTGCATCCTGTAGACCTTGTTCTTTAAAAATAGTCTGGTTGATTATAGTTCCATGTGATATTAGTAGAGGGATGTCCGGAACACTTCCTTGCTAAGGGGGGGGGGGGGGGTCATTCATAGAACATTTAGAAAATATTCCTCACCCATTAGTGTGAATGAATTAGAGAATATGCTTTTATTTGTTTCTTCCGCACCCTTTTATTTTGTGTTTCCCCAACATTTTCGGATTAGGGCCCTTTCGCCTTAAAGGTTTTCATTAATGTGGGGGGGGGGGGGGCGGGGTTGTGGTTACAGCCATCACTGCACATTATTTTTTGAACTCAAATCGACGGCTGTTACTTGGAATGCTAGCAATGTTCACATGCACGACATGGAAGACACATAGTCTCATTCCAGTGGCGAATATGCATGGGGGTATGAGGGGCTCCTGCCTCAAATGGAGTGGGAAGAGCGAGGCGAGGTGAGATAGAGAGAGAGAGAGAGAGAGAGAGGGAGAGAGGGAGAGAGGGAGAGAGAAAGAGAGAAAGAGAGAGAGAGAGAGAGAGACCGACATACACAAAAAGAAATTGAGAAATAAGGGAGAGGGAAAGGCAATGGTAAAAATGATGATAATGACACCACATCACACACCTATACCCTCACTCTACTGCCATTTAATCAACCTAATATTATGTCCAGTGACGTCCCCCCCCCCCCCCCTGGCTGGGCCCGCGCTACGCCACTGACCTCTTCTACTGTTTCCTTGTCAAGCGCTGCTACCCCGATATCACGGATGAACATGAACTGGCGTTGGACTTTGGCGGGGAAATCATCGATGACGTCGTTGAATTCTTTGGCCCTATTTGCCGATTTCCTATCGAAAAGAGCCGCTTTTAGCAATTCCTCAGCCTGAAATGGGAAAACAATATAGCGTAGTTTTATATATTGTTTTTATTATTAATAATTTCATTGTTAGGACATGATATCGGACAACATTGACTGATCTTTTAATGCGAGAAGACTACAGTGTACAAAACTAAAAGGTTTTATACGCAATATGAGACTACAAGACAGATGTAGGCTCTGCTCAAGGCTTTAGGAATTATGGTAAAGCGTAATGTTAGAGTCTGTATTTGCAGACTAGGTTTGGACGGGGGTGTGCGACAGGATCCTCGCAAGACTCATTTATACCCATGGCTATTTGGAAGAAAGTGGCAATGGAAAGTGGTACCCATTATTCAGACTTTGGCTACAAAACAACTTGATTTTAAATTATTCTTGTATAAAATATATCTGTGATTTGCACTGGAGCGAGAATATAGACGAGGAATTATTTTGAAGAAAATAGCTACCCAAGTTCAAGATTTAGGATCGGGGCCATTTTTAAGGGACTTTCTGACACAAAATTATGACCCTGAGCGTTTAGTTTTGTTTTTGTTGTTGCAAAGAAGCGGCAACGACTATAGAGCGGCCCATTCCTGTAGGCCTATACCGTATTACTGTATAAGATGAGTACCCCCCCCCCCGATTGAAAGTAATAATAATAATGATATATTTCTACTACTATACTGGATATTGTTATATCGCACATTATCATCCACCAGGCAAAGTAATAATAATAATGATATATTTCTACTCCTATACTGGATATTGTTATATCGCACATTATCATCCACCAGGCAAAGTGCTCAAGGCGCTCCAGTATTACCCCGACTCTGCTAGAGGCTAGACTATACCGATATTAAGTCTTATCAACCATGATCTATGCCGATGATATGCAGATGTATTGCTTATAATGTTCAAACATTCGTGTATTGAATATTCTCTGGCCCGTGAACAAAATGATGTTAAAACGTGGTCTTACAATAATTCCTTGTTCTAGAATGAAAAGAAAACACATGTTATTCAAGTTTACTTACGATTTCGCCAAACGGAATGCCCTGCAATATTGCTTGAAGGCCATGTTTTACAAGCACCAGAAACCGTTCGAAATTAAGATGTAATATGTGACAAACATGTATTACTGACTGATCAAGTAAGTAAGGTTTGCCGTGCAGCCTCCTTCTCCTTATATAAAATAGGACAAATTAGGTGTTACTTAGATGAGAAACTGACAGAACGACAAGTTCGTAGTCTCGTCATGCGTCATATCGATTATTGTATTCGATTATCGATTATTCCAAATTCTGCCGCACGGCTTGTTACGAGATCTCGTTCAAGTGAACATAATCTCCCCGGCTATTCTGAAAAAAATTACACCGGTTACCTGTCCGCGCTAGAATTCAATTCAATTCAATTCTTTTTCATCCAAATTCACAGGAATATTATGGAAATTTGTTTTGGTCACACATTGTAAAAATACGTAAGATATATATGAAAAACTATATCGCTGTGTCAGGGGCGGTCGATCGACTTCCAAAGTGTGGGGGGGGGGCACCAAGAAAAAAAGGGCACTTTCTGGAGAAAAAAGGGCACCTACAAAGAGAACCTACACCTACTCTTAATTCTTACAGCGCATAGAGACATATTAATTGTGATATCCGCTATCTAAGTATGGTATATTATCATTATTATTATTTTAACCGGGGACCTATGACACCTAGGTGGAGAGTGGTAAATGTAGGTTAATGAATTGCCAATGGATTTCACAGAGTTTATAAAGCAAACAAATAAAATCTTACATCTTTCTGTGCGTTCTCATCCGTCAGGTTAGCCTCGTAATTCCACGTCGCCTCTGTTGAGGCGGAAAGGACGCGTTCGCCTTCCTCTGTGTAATTTCGAAGGAATTCGTGAGCTTCGGCAAGGGTTTTGCTGGTCGGTTGTCGAATCGGCCTACGATGTACCTCTCGGCTCTCCTCAAATCCTTCCTCTAGCGAGCTACCAAGATGAAAGATCCCGACGAAATAGATGATCCAAATGATAAGGGTCCCATGGGACCACGAATTGTCTTTTATCTTAGACATTGTGTGATTTTCTTTAATATTTCAAAGTCAGTGTTGCACCGTTCAGTTCCAAACACAAGAAGTGCAATATGACCAGACGCTTGGAAGCCTCGCCCTAGAGTAAACTGTTGATCTATTTGACTAATTACAACTAGCTGTGCGTAGTAGGAAGTCTATGTATTCTATCTGTGGCGTAGCATGCACCATTTTGCTCCGTGTCGGGGGCGGCGGCGGAGAAGGTTTGACTATAATCACTGATGTATTGCGAAAGAACAAAAATAAGGGATGTGAGAGGGATCATCTTAATGTCATGTCTCCTTTCCCCCTCCCACCTTGTTCCCACTTTCTTTTATTTTTCTCCATTTTCTGGGAAGGGAATTAAGGGGGAGGGGTACCCTCGTGTCCCAATCTACGTTACCTTGGACTTCACATATCTGTTTGGTGACTTCTGTTTTGGCGATCATGTCCCTAGTTTGGGGTGATTATTTTGGCACAATGCGGCGTAGCATAGGGTCATTGCTCTGGTGTCGGGGCGGGGGCGACGAGGGTTTGAATATAATCACTGATGAACTGTGAAAGAACACGGGTAAGATTGGGATATGAGAGGGATCTGTCTCGTCGCCTTTCCTCTCCACCCTTGTTCTCTCTTTCTTTTATTTTTCGCTATTTTCGGGGAAGGGGGGGGGGGGGGGGGAGGTACCCTCGTGCCCAATCTACGTCACTTGGATGTTGGGTGACATCTGTTTGGGTAATTTTTATATTGTGAATTATTATGATGTAAACAAAGGTAATATTTGCATACATGAAATTAGCCATTCATACACATACATACATACAGTGGCGTAGATAGGTCCTCAGACCTTGGGGATGATCTGATGAGAGGGGTAGACCACAATATGTTCAAATAACTCCACGCACACACACACACATATATGGACACACACATATATGGACACACACACTGTGTGAGCAAAGTGAGCAAAGTGAGCAAGAAATTGTTGAAATCTTGATCACCTTGGGACCTGGGGGATGCATACATACACCTGGCCCCCCCCTGCATACATACATGTACATGTACATACACCCTCATGCACATAAAAATGCAAACATACGAACGCATTAATAGGTTTCCAACAGACCCCAGTCTGAGATATCTCAGACACTGTCTTCAACAGGATAAACAGGTGAATATGTAGGTTTAGAAGGGGCTGTTCACAAATATTAGTATTTTCACAATGTATTAACTAGCATTTTTATAACTTGTCTAGAGGTTAACATGTTAACATGTTAACATGTATCCAAAATCTTGAAGAATGAGGGTTGAAAAGAGTAGCCAATTACAACTTGTGAAAATATTTACAATTGTGAATGGCTCTGTAATAACAAACAGTAAAAAAATGTCTCCAGTATTTCAGAATCCTTTATCAAAAAAAAAAAAGAAAAAAAAAGTGTAGGGTCGGCGATAAAAATAGGGTCGGGCGGGTTACGCCAAGTCATCAATTTTTTTTTTAGGCCTAAGGTGACCTTACCCCCCCCCCCCCCCAACGACAAAAAATGTCAAATTATGAAATTTTGAGACCCCCCCCCAAAAAAAAAATGAGTCCGCTTATCCCCCCCCCCCCCCCCCCCCCCACCCAAAAAAAAAATGTCCGCTTTTTTAATACATAGAAAGAAGAGAAGAAAAAAAAAAAAGGGAGGTCGCTCCTGGGTGGGCTCGAACCACCAACCTTTCGGTTAACAGCCGAACGCGCTAGCCAATTGCGCCACAGAAGCTTGACGACCGCCTGTTGTTTTTACAATTAATAAAGGCAATGCTAGGCACAAGAAACATGGACATTGTATAAAAGTATTATTAAATCTGTTTTTTTTTCGTCAATTTGAATATTATGAACCCCAATTTTATAATAATTTATAATTCAGTATTTTTTAATTGATTTTCAGTTTAGTTGTTTTATCGTTTATGCCATTTTTACTTAAATGTTCTGAGTGCACTCGACTCAACAGCACGTGAAGAACCATATCGAGTAGCTGAAAAATACAGTTTTGTGGTCCGAGTGCTCGGGCGCGGCGCGCGCGGCGCGGCGGCTTGGCAGTCGGAGCTAGCTAGCCAGCACGCAACTCTTCTTAAGAATCGAAAATGTGTGCGAGGCGCGCGCGTACGTTTCGTTTGGACGTCGTTAATGTATTTATGATGTAGCGCGCGTACGGACGTACGTACCTACCTATGCGTTGCCTGTGTTTACTCAATCTATGGAGCTGGAAAATATAATTAAGGTACCAAATTTTCACTTTGTTACGGATGATTTTTCTCTAGCTACCTTACTTTAACACTTTTGGTGTATGAAGGAGAATACAACGGGTCTTATCCGTAACTTAAGTTGTTTGGAAAGGCTTCAAATGCCATGATTTAGACGAGATTTGGACAATGTAAATATCTTTTGCACGCGTGAAGAATGCTCATTTTAAATACCAAACTGCTTTGTTTTGCAAATGTCGTCGTACTTTCGCAACGTGTTTCTTGATTTAGCAGCGGCTTTTACTCCCATGGCTCCTGGGAACATGAAGTCTGATTTTATTGGATTGCAGCGATCGAAGCTCACCGGTAAATCTTATGCTACTCGAAAACTGTATTTGAAAAACAGCGACGGTTCTAGCAACGAGAACGTGTCGCTCCCAGTCAATATGGACGGTGAAGGGGACACACTACGAAACAACGCGGCCGACAATGACCCGTCTGTTGTTTTGAACGCTACGGCGATGGCAGTGGCTAGCGATGTTTCAAATGTCGCACAGTCGGACAACACAAAGCCAAACGATAATTCAATAACAGGATCTGGAGATGGCGGCTGTGCTATTGCTCAAATAAATGGATCGCCAGACAGAGTGAATTCTGAAATTTCTCATTTGAAAGTGCTTTCTATGTTACACTTGGATGTGATTGAACAGCAGCAGAAACAAATCAAAATGTTTGAAAGAGAGGCACAACGATTGCGTGTGGAAAATGAAACGGTGAGATTTTATTTTTCATTTTTTGTCACAACATAAATTTCATAAGATTTGCTATTGAAATTTGAATATTGAATATTGCATGGTATTTTGTGGTATTTTGAAAACTGCTAGACTAGACTAGTTCTAACTTTTAGATCTATTATTAATAAACATGTCTTTCAATTTCAACATCATGAACATTGCATTCTCTCAATCTCTGTTCTTATTAATAATTAATCTTGTTTTCCTTCTTCTTCTGTCTGTGACGTACAATCGCCAGCATCTGGTTGTCGCGTAGTCTACGTTGGTTTAGGTTTAGACCGAATTTTTCGTCTCTTTCGTTAAAGAACGAAAGAGACGAAAAATTCGGTCTAGTTTAGGTTTAAACGATAAACACGCCTAAATATTGAAGTGTGCTTCATAAGGATGCGACGGGTAGTCGATTGCTCGAGTACCCGCACGCTTGACAACTACATGTACACGGGTACGATTTCTCGGAGTCGGGCTAACTCGCCCCACGGGACATCTCGCCCCAGCCTCAAAGACTGGGGCAGTAGTCTGCTAATTTACGGCCAGGACGAAAGAATGTGAAAAAACATTAACCATCTCGTCTAAAATGTAGTACATTCGACTTCTCAATAACAAAATTTATGCCAGGAATCAAAAATAGACCTTCATACATTATGAAAATGATATTTTTGCAGTGATTTACTGACAAAAACACTGCTCAAATTTAAGTGGTCCGAGTCGGTACAACGCACATTTAATGTACATGCGGCAATGCGAATTGCGAGCTGTGAGTAAATTGTCCGAAATGCCATTTTTGTTGTCATTTTATCTAAAGAGAAGTTATAGATTGTCTTCAGACTTCAATAGTATCATTTAACACAATTCCATTACAGATTGTGGTTGGATGAGTACAAACATATACATTGGTATCTCTTGATCGGTGAATCATGTCGGAACATCTCAGCCCGGATTTGATTTCTCGTACCCGAATATTCTGCCGCAAAAAAAAAAAAAAAAAAAAAAAAAAAACTATCCAGGCCGACGCTTACCCATGCCACTGCCAGGGAGAGCGGCGGCCGCTGGCATGGTACCGTCGGTAAAAATGTTTCCCAACTCAAGCACTGTCAAACTCACCACTCAGAAACTGGGACCAAATGTCCGGATTTCTGTTTGGACTCGGAGTACAATGGATTATTCTGCCATCTTTGGTTTTTAAAACAGCATTGTTTACTGTTATTATTATTATTAAATCGGAGCCTTCTACTGCAACAGTAAAATTGCATGCATTTTCGGCGATACTGGGATACTGCACTAGTGGTATGGTGGTGGCAAAAAAAGAAAGAAAAAAGAAAAAAAATTCTAAAAAATTCAAAAAAATTATTAAAAAATTATAAAAAAACATGGCGTCCGAATATTCGAGTATTCGCTTGTAAGCCTGGGAGTGTACTCGAGTACCTCATTGCACTGTTGTGCACAGCCTTAGTGCTTCGGCTACAACTTACAAGGTTTTAATGTCTAATAAGTCCAATTTGATTTTAAAAGTTTTCACATCGATATCTGGCGAGTTTCTGGTTTCCCGATGTACATGTACATGTAGATGATTCCATTCGGAAATGGTCTTGGGGTACTACAGGGAATGCCAAATGTCTAATGAGAAAAATTTGGCAACAAATTAGTCTGAAGAAAGTTGATATGGACCTTTCAAAATCAAGAAAATCATGGAATCTTTGAGACAAATTGGCAATGCGATCTGAATCTGTGATATCATCTCCTCACAATTCATGATATTCATCACTGATCTGAATGACAAAATGACCCAAATCTTTATTTCTCTGAATCAATATACATGTACAAATGATGCACAGGTTTGAGTGCGTCGATAGGAATTGTGTGCACAAGGTACCTTTGAATGGTTTTAGGTAATCAAATTTGAAGGTAATAGTGCAGTATGGTACAGTACATGTAATGATCCTGTAGGATTTTTGTGCCAAAGTTGATTTTTTTTCTTGTTTTGGCTTCAAAATGGTCCCAATTATTGGCCAAAACTGATAGGGTTCAAATTTTCAGACCCCTCCTTCATTTCCTGGGGGGGGGGGGGGGGGTACCTATTGGGCGCCAAAATGGCTTATATAATGCGCAATAGGGAAATTTGGTGTCTTCGGGAAAATTTGAACCCCATCAATTTCTGATAGCTTGGAATCCAAATCAACTTTGGCACAAAAATCCTACGGGAGCTGTTTCAGTGACATACCGTACTACATTATAATGCGTGCACACAATTCCACCAACCCACAAATTAAACCTGTACATCATCTGTTTTATAAAATGGGGCCAGAAAAAAAATCATCAAAAATACAAAAATCAGTTATTTTGCAGATTTACCGGGTGCATAGCAAAATCATGCTTTCCAGTCAATTACCGGACGCATGATTTTGTGAAACTTACATGTATCATGAAATTAAAAAAAAAAAAAAAAAATAGGTATTTCAATGGATGAAAACATATATGTAATGACTCACCTTCACATTAAACTACAGGTATATTACTCTTTAAAAAAAAAATTAAATAGATCTAAGAATTATTTTTTTAAAAAAATAATAAAAAAATTTACGTCTAGATCTACATGTAGATCTAGATCTATTTTTTATATATAAACAATTAAAAAACAAAGATTATCTTAGGTATCGATTCCCAATATCGCGTGCATCCAGTAAAATTATCTAAACGGTAATTGACCTATCAGATTGCAGGGATTCTTCTACCCATCTTTAATATTTCAATGGAATTACTTAGACCAATCTTACATGTACTGTATATTATGGGGGTGCATGAAATAACACGTTATCCGTGTATATCTTATAAGATCGAGATAGGCATAAAGCCTATTAATTAGTGCCTGTTAATCCCCATGATCCTCTTTTTCCTATATGTACAGGGCTTGCCCTTAACTTTTTTTTGAGGTGGCCAGCAGGGCCACTTGGGTAGGAGTTCTGGGTGGCCAAATGGATTTTCAGGTGGCCCCACTTTTATGCGTTATTAAATAATGCAAATGTTTAATAAAAAATGCATAAATTATACGTGTTAAAAGCAGCATGAGCTGCATTTAATAATGAAAGGTGAGTGACTCTTTAGACTCTCATTCCAAATCCTCTCTCTTTGTTTCTATACTTCTGTCTCAACTTCACTTCAATGTTTTTCTCCCTTTCTCCTTGACTATCATGCATCACAAGGACCCCCTCCCCCTTAAGTTAGGATTGTGCAGGGCACACAAGGCGCCAAACTTCTGCTTTTCTTTGAGCTCCAAGTTCTGTTGGAAGATATAAAATTGATTGTATATTTACTTTAGGCCCGAGTCGAAACGGGTCCCCGCCCGGGCCCCGACCGTCGAGCTGAAACCCGGTTTTTGGTTTTCGGGTTTCGGGTTTTTCAAAATTAAATTTCACACTGATATTTTGAAATATAGAACTAAAAATATGGAATTCACAAACTTATATTTCAATATAATCCAATAAATATGCTTTAGAAATAAATGGATATTGTTTCAGTTGACGGTATGTGTTTTTATCGCTCTAAAATTGAGGCTGCAAGAAAGGAATCACGCTTCGTGGTACCGATCGGGTGCGTTCAGAAACGGAAGTGGAAATAGATCTATGACCCACTGAAGACAGAGCAAGAAAATGCCACACACAAGACTAAAATATTGATCAGACTATTGCAATTAAATCGTAATACTAAAGGCATTAATTTAATTGTCAAAATATATCCACAACATAATGGTTTATCCTTGATAGTTTGATGAAGGAAAATAAATTAGAGCTCTTGAAATAACATCGAAGTGCCTTTCGTTCGTTCTAAAAAATGCGTGTATAACGGCAAGCAGAAGTTACGAGTTTAAATCCCTACATCGTCATCCGACCTGATCGGAACAATAAGCATTAAACCAATTAAAAAAAAAACATCACGTAAGACTTTAAGGGACTCCAATTCAACAAAATTACCGTAAAATAATTATTTGCTTTGACAAATAATACTATAGATATTCATAATATCTTACAGAAATAATGATATTTCATGAGCTACGTACTCGATATCGAGTTCAGCTATAGCCATCATTTTGAAATGAGACGTAGCTGTCATGCATGCAGCGCAGAATGCGGCAGCTCGCAGCTAGAGCATCGAAATCCAAGTAAGGTTGAGTTTGAGTTCGTTGAGCTAGAGAGGGAAAAAAAAAATCACGTAATAGTCACGTGAATATCACGTGATCTCAGGCCCGCGCTTTTCCCTCTCTCTTCTGCATACTGCCCTCTACAGTCTACTGCATGACAACTACGTCTCATTTCAAAATGATGGCTATAGCTGAACTCGATATCGAGTACGTAGCTCATGAAATATCATTATTTCTGTAAGATATTATGAATATCTATAGTAGTATTTGTCAAAGCAAATAATTATTTTACGGTAATTTTGTTGAATTGGAGTCCCTTAAAGTCTTCCGTGATGTTTTTTAATTGGTTTAATGCTTATTGTTCCGATCAGGTCGGATGACGGTGTAGGGATGTAAACGTGCATATCAAGCTTGACTCGTAACTTCTGCTTGCCGTTATACACGCATTTTTAGAACGAACGAAAGGCACTTCGATGTTATTTCAAGAGCTTTAATTTTATTTTCCTTCATCAAACTATCAAGGGTTAACCATTATGTTGTGGATATATTTTGACAATTAAATTAATGCCTTTAGTATTACGATTTAATTGCAATAGTCTGATCAACATTTTAGTCTTGTGTTTGGCATTTTCTTGCTCTGTCTTCAGTGGGTCATAGATCTATTTCCACTTCCGTTTCTGAACGCACCCGATCGGTACCACGAAGCGTGATTCCTTTCTTGCAGCCTCAATTTTAGAGCGATAAAAACACCTACCGTCAACTGAAACGATATCCATTTATTTTTTAAAGCATCTTAATTTAATTCCATTGATTATTTTATTGTTTTGAAAGCAGTAACTGTCTTTTCCGTCGCATTATTAGAACAGCAACTTAGTCTAACTCCCGCCGCTGCATGCACACGATTTTTAGTGTCAGTACACCAATCACAATGCTGGGATTTGGGAATCCCCAACTTACCCGCCCGAAATCTCATGCGCAGTTTGTAACTGCGCAACAAAGAGTTGAGAAGCGTACTAGCTGTGCTGCAATGCGGATATCGACAGCTGCCCTATACGCGGTAGCATACTATGATAGCGCTACGCCTATGTACCGGCCAGGCCGGGGTGGCGGCGGCGGTGTGTACAGTACCTACGCGACGGCGTGCATCGTTTTTATAAAGTTAGTATGCGAAACGAAACATTTCCTTGTTTGATAGATCGGATTGCGTCGCTTGGAAAAGCTTGGAAAAATAAATGTCGCCTCGGTTTCGGGTAGATCTAAAGGTTAAACAAGTTGTTGATAAATAATTTATATATTACTGTCCAAATATTTGGGTGGCCAGCCGGGCCATCTAGTCGGTGATTTCAGGTGGCCCGACAGCGTTTCAGGTGGCCATTGGCACCGGGCCACCGCTAATTTCGAGCCCTGATGTATGTTAATTGGGAGCTGATATAATGAGAAAACCACCTGTCAGTGACCTTGCATGGTGGTCTTATCCCCCTGGCAAAACTACTACAGACGTGCTTTAAAACAACTTATTTTAAACTTAGAGTCTAGACTATCAACCTACATGTACATGTACATGTAACTTGCCTTTTACCTTTTTTTAATCAACTTAATTGATACTAAGGCCAAATAAAAAACATGTTTAGCGTCCTGCCTTTTTGAAAAACAGGAAGGAGGAGGCCCTTTTTTTTTCCTTTTCAAAATGGCCGCTCGGTTTATTTTCCCTGACAGTCGCGCTATTTCTCAAGATGGCCGCCGGCATTAAAAAAAAAAAAAAATCAGAAATAGATTGTTTTAGCAGTGTTTAAATGATAATAAAAAATTAATATATAAATAAAATAAATAAATTTAAAAAAATTAAAAAAAGAAGCGGCCCCAAAAAGGCCAAATCATGATAGTGTGGAAATTTCTGGAAAATCAGCAAAAATATGAAATAGGATACTTAAAAGTGTAAATAATAGCTCCACTGGCAGAGCCAGAGCCCAGAGGACACAATTTGTTTGGGTCAAAATGCATTGACCATTGGTTTACAGTTGGCTTTTGTACATACAGATAAATAGGTGTGCTTGGCCTTAAGGAATTTTTGTGTGTACATGTACTGTACAGTACATGTACATGCACATGCACTGTGTGTACTATAGGAGTTTAGCCTTTACTGAGCAAGTAGAACATGCTCTGTGCACTTCCATATTTAAAATTCTTCATGTACAGTGCACAACTGATTTGTACATTATGTTGTAGATTTGTTATTTATTTGATGTTCTTTTTTACTTATTAGTTTATTTCAAATCTCTGCATGTATTTTGCAGTTCTTGTATGATTAATGCCTACCGTACATGTACCGTAATACATGTTGTATGCAAATTTCAAAGTCTTGGTTTCTAATGTACACAGTAAATACTTAAAGTGCCATATTACAATTGAACGAAATGTCTTTAAATTTCCCAAAGGAATTTTGATATTATTGCATGTACTCCGGCTATGGCCCCGGCAACCATAGCGCTCAGTGCATTCATTCAAGGAATGAATCCTACCAGGCACCCACCTGCTACACCTGGGTTGAGTGTGGCAAATGATTAATGTCTTGCCAAAAGACATGAGTGCCGCAGTAAGATTCAAACCTTGTGGTTCACAGTCAAGAGACGTATATGTCTCCACTAGACCACAACACCTCTACAAACTGTTTTGCATGTACACAGTAATTTTGTGATTTACATGTACATGTATGTATGCCTTTAAAGTTTAAACAGTCCAATAGCACACCTACACATGTACAGTATTTACAGTTTACATCACTGTTGAGCGCCCATTTCTTTCCCACATTGTTGGGTTAGACTTTATTTCTTTCAAAACCTCTACAAATTGTGCAACATGTACCATAATTAGCGTTGTATAAACCGCCCTTGTGTATTAACCGCACCCCTCTTTTTGTTCTGTTTTTTGTTTTTTCATTTAACTGCGAGGTGCAGCTGAATGTGTAAGATCATTAATGTAAACTAAAAAACAGACAAATTTCAGTGTTGTTCTAGTTTCCTAGTGGTGATTCAACACACCGATTACATGAGCTGGGAGACATTGCCAGGCATAGCACCAGGTGGAGGGTCATAAATCGAAACTTTAATTTTTTTTTTTTTTTTTTTTTTGTGTACTGTGTATAAACCGCACCCCCAACTTTGAATTTTTTTCGGCGGCAAAAAGGTGCGGTGTATACCCCATTAATTACGGTACTGTATGTGTAGAACAGCTATTTTTGTGATTCATGCCTTTAAAGTTTTAACAGTCCAATAACATGCTTGCACATGTATGCACATGTAATGTACAACCTGTATTACATCATCATCAGCGGGCGTCCCTTTTCCTTCACACTGGGGGGTTGGAGGTTTTATTTCCCTTATGGCCCTTCTCCAAGCCTTCCGGTCTTCAGCATCTCTCTGGATGCGGCCAGATGCTCTTATACATGTATATATCCTGTAATATGATATGTAACTTGTATCATATTATCCTTTGCCACTACAGCTGAAGTGTAGATTGGAACGCATGAACAGAAGAACTCATCTAGCAGAGAAGGTTGAACCTCAGACCAATAACAACAACAACCATCGTCCGGTCGGAAGGCCCCGAAAGATTTTGGACTCACCAGTACAAAAAAAGTAGGTTCAAAAGTATGTTTTTCATTATTCTCTTGTAGACTTGTACTCATGAATTTCAAGAATGTAACTTAGTCGATTTTCGCACTCTCGCAAACAATGTCTCCTGTTCGTCCAAGCGTGAACACATACCACACAAAAATGGTACCAAATGATTTGGGATAAAACACTTTTTCATAAGACATATAACAATTTAATGTTCATCGATGATTTTTTAAATAATTAGCAACTTTCTAGGTGTAAACTTTTTTTTGACTCACACTGTAAAAGGACTTTGCTCACTTTTGACCATTTGTATTAATTTTAAGATTTACCAAAATTCTTTTTCAGAAAGCGTAAATCAGAGCTAGACGTGTCGATCCATAGCACTGGGAAGCAGTCAGGTCGAGGGGGTGGCACCCCCGTCAAAGACAGCAACGGTAACCTGAACTCCAGCATCTCGTCGGCACAGTCAACTAACGCGGAACTGAGCAAGAGACAGAGGAGAGCGGAGAAACTTGCGAAGAAGGAGGAGAAGAAGAACGCAAGCAGACAAGACAGTAAAGAGTCAAGAGAGTCAAAGGAGGAGGAGAAGTTTCATCGGACAGGAGTGATGTACCCTTGCTTGAGCGACTTGAGGGTCCCTCAATTGGATGTGCTTGATGATGAATCTGTAATGGGTCAGTATATATCCTTTCTTGTTTTATTCTGTACCTGGGTCTCTGGGTGTCATGACCCTTATAAGCGTCTTTTGCAATTTTTTTTTCAGGGTGGGGGGGGGGGGTGGTTGGATAATATTTTTTATATAATATTATTTGTTGCAAATAAAATAAATTCCCTAGCAATCTGCATGGGAGGGACCAGCACTGAAAAGCTTGTGTTGCTGAGAAAATAGGACCCACTCTTGAAGATCATCCAACTCGGAATCAGTAATGCAATTTCCTAAGGTTTACATGTTCATGTAGGTGTCAATTACATCACTGCTTAGAATTCAAAGAACCTGGATATTGAAATACTGGGATACCATTTTATTCATGAATTACTTCGTACAGATTTCCAAGTCTACATGTATGTTCATCTGTTGCTTACTTTCTTGCACTTACAGATAAAATATAGTCATGTGACATGGTCTTTATGAAAGCCTTTTAAAATGTTTTTTATGGGGGGAGGGGGGGTATAGCATGATTTTCTTTTAGAACTTTTAATAATTTTCTCATCTTCCTGTCTCCTTCTCTCTTTTAGTTCCGTCATGGCGTGTCGTCACCATTCCAGCTCCGAGTACATCCTCAGATGCTCCAGAGGTAAATCATACAATCATTTGTAATGTGCAAGCTATCTGTACTTCAGTGAGAAGATTTGGGTAGGGATCTAGAAAGGAAGAGAGATCAAGAATGGGGGTGGGGGATAAAAGGAGGCAGTAGATACATGCACATGTCTGATACATAGGAAAGCATTTCAAAATGTCCATATTACAATATTAACCAAAATGTTCAGTTTATGTACCGGTATTCTGAAGTTTCCAGCTAATAAGTGAGTGAGATGTTAGAGAAGAGAAGCAATGGGATGTCCCTTTATTATGTTGAACCAATTTCTGAGTCATATTTGTAACTCTACATCCTTTAAAAGTCAGGGTTCAAATTTTGAGAAAAGTTAAGATGCTATAAGACAACAAGGCTATACTCTTGTTACAGGCCCCAATTACCTTATTTACATATATTCATAGTAGTAGTTTAATATAGACAACTTCACCCTTTTTAATTTAACCAATTGTTCATGAACTTTATTACTTTGGTTGTTGTTTTGTCAGGAGTGCAGCGATGCGGTGTTTGAGCAGCGGCACGGTAAGCTGGAGCAGGACGAGAGAAAACGGAAGAGGTGGGACATCCAGAGGATACGAGAGCTGAGAGAACACGAGAGGCTGGTCAATAAACAGAAGCAGAGGGAATATGCTCAATGGGAGCATATACTGACCACCTTCTATCCAGTCGAGAATGATGGTAAGCCCCTCCTCTTTGAAGTTGAATAGCCATTTTTGTAATGTAATCAAAAGTGATGCACAAATCTTTGTTCAGTGCCTGATTCAAATTATTTCATATTTTCATTCACCTATGTACGTATTAGGTAGGACAGGCCTTAAAGTTTGTCCTACCTAACATCAATTAATGTATGCTATTCGCATTCTGACTATTGAAATACAATTATATGTTAAAAGGTGAATGAAAATATTTTGTACCGTTAAACAACGAGGCACTTAATATAGGTTTGTGCATTAAATTTGATTACATTAAGAAAATGGTCTATTAATAACCACAGCTGCTACATAGATGGTAAGAACTGTCCTCTGTTGGAATGACAATATACACATGGGTCAAGCTTTTGCAAGCATGTAGTAGTACTACCAATCCAAATACATTCATAACCAATTTAAAGTATTACATACTATCCTGTACAGTTCCATCAATTCCATTATTATCATCAACATCTTTATTATGTATTTCTATATTCATTTCAAAATACTTAAGAATTGACTTGTATGAATATATGTTTTTATTGGAAATGAATAGATTAAAATTGAACTTGATATTTAACAATTATTTCTGCATTTTAAATTCTTTCAAATGTGTGCGTTCCTTTTTTATTATTAGAAAAACCCACTGAGGATATGTTGAAATTGCCTCAGCATAATATACTCTATAGTTGATCTGATATTAATGGATGTTAATCATCCATATATTATACATGTATATGTCCATGGCATTGATCGATTCTGTTTTCTTTTATTTTTGTTTTAGCTGAATTCATTGAGATGAATGATACGATTCCAGTCATCACCTTCGGTGTTCAAGTCCCTACAGTTAAACCAAAGTAAGCTTTCTGTCTGTTCCGTCTTCTTTGTATCTTGTAATATTTTTTAAAGAAAAAAGTCATGGAATCTCAGAACTACATTCGTAGGATGTCTGATTTTAGACCTATCCCTTCCAGGTCTTTTCAGACTTAATGTTGTGTTGAATAAATGAGGCTCCAACACGTTTGGGACTTTTGTTTAGGCTAATTGAGGAAAATTGATTTTTAATTCTTTATCCCGGCTTTAAAACCAGAGGAGTTCTGATGTCTTCCTCGGTCATATCTTGATTATTAATTTGAAAAGCTTTATTGCTAGTTTACTACCATAATCTTCATTAACAAATAATCAATTTTATTTTTGAATGCTTATAGATCATAAACTGAGTTTATTGTTTGTAAAAATTTGGGTTGTTTGAGAATTGGCAAAAAGTTTTAGAAGTTCATGAAGTGAACATTAAGGCAGATGCATAATAGGGCACTTATTTTTATTAATCCGATGATACAAATGATACATGTTGAATGTAAAAAATAACATATCTTGCAATTGAGTAGTTAAATCATTCAAGAATATAATATCTCCCTCGGTTAAATTGATGCACCTTTTTCTAAGTCTCATTGAATGATTTTGTTCTATTACAAGAGCTCTCAATAATTTTCTATCCCCATCCTATTTCTGTCCCCATCTCTCTCTCTCTCCATCTCTCTCTCTCTCTCCATCTCTCTCTCTCTCTCTCTTCATCTCTCTCTCTCTCCATCTCTCTCTCTTTCTCTCTCTCTACAGTGAGTTTGAGTTGCCATGGTTCGATGCGAAGCAGCGGGAGCGAGACGAGCAGAGGAGACAAACAAGGAGAATGACCAGTCGGAGATAGCACCCGGCCGGCCGGCCAATCATCTGACAGCATTCATTCGTATTCCATCTTCTTTGGATCTTAGGGTACATTCGCAAGTGTGACCATACTCTCACTGATGCAGTATTGAGCTTCATTCACATATGACCATACTCTCGCTGATGCAGTATTCACAAGTGTGACCATACTCTCACTGATGCAGTATTAAGCTTCAATCACACGTGACTAGGTCAATCACCTAAAAATGGCTGCTGTGAAATGAAACTCGATATGTGCATCTGTATTTGCAAAACAGATAACCATTGTGTTATCAGATATATATCAAGAAGTTCAACAAATTTCAAGCCATATTATCGGCAATAGGAGCAGGAGAAGCACATACTATAATGTGATGCACTTTGAGACTTATGTGTGGCACATGATTGCTCATGTACTTTCCTAGTCTGATTTTACACTGATACAATTGGTGACTCCATCAAACATGGCTTGAATTTGCCAGAAGTATAAATGGCATCGATCACAATCATGCATTATCAATGAATCCATAGTCCATACACAAAGGTTGCAGACACAGACAGTTAGAACCATCCCATATATCATGCAGCTATAAGTATAATTGAAGCATGGTCACACTTGTTCTATATAGGGGCTGTGCTCACTGCTATCCAGTGTCGATGAACCCATACACTAAGGTTCTACAGTATTCTGCAAACTCAGACAATGAGGACCATCCCATACATCATGCAGCTAGAAGTATAATTGAAGCATGGTCACACTTGTTCTATATAGGGGCTGTTCCCACTGCTATCCAGTGTCAATGAACCCATACACTAAGGTTCTACAGTATTCTGCAAACTCAGACAATGAGGACCATCCCATACATCATGCAGCTATAAGTAAATTGAAGCATGGTCACACTTGTTCTACATAGGGACTGTTCCCACTGCTATCCAGTGTCAATGAACCCATACACTAAGGTTCTACAGTATTCTGCAAACATAGACAGTGAGATGCATCATGCAGCTATAAGTGCAATTTAAGCACAGTCACACTTGTTCTACATAGGGACTGTTCCCACTGCTATCCAGTGTCAATGAACCCATACACTAAGGTTCTACAGTATTCTGCAAACACAGACAGTGAGGACCATCCCATATATCATGCAGCTATAAGTAGGCCTACAATTGAAGCATGGTCACACTTGTTCTACATAGGGACTGTGCTCACTGCTATCCAGTGTCGATTGCTCAAAGATACATGTTCACAGCAAGCCATCAAAATTGTTTTTCACCTGCTGAATGTACAGTATCTCTATTTCTCACGTACACAGTAAAGGTTCTGCAGTAAATATTTTCTAAATAAATGAGAACGACAGTAAAACTTTGCTAATGCACATTGCGGTAAACCAAACGTGGCAGCAAAGTAAAAGTAAATGTTCATGTACAGTGGAACCTCATTATAATGAGCTCTGATAAAATGTGGTATCTGTTATTACAAGGTGATTTTGCTAGTCCCAACTCTTTGTATTATGTTTTTTTTTACCCTGATACCAGAAGATTTCTGATATATCAAGGTCATTTCCATGGTTCCAAGCATCTCATTATAATGAGGTTCCACTGTAAATGAGAAGCATAATCACTTATCTTGAGTCTTGTAAGCTAGTTACAGAAATGCAAAGCACTCTACTCTCACTTCCTTTTACTTTGTGGCAGTGTTTTTTCGGGACGGTTTAAAGCGTTGTGTGAACGAGGCTTTGAGGTGGTCTCTCTATCCAGGTGATGGTTACTATTACAGGTGACCACATAGTACAAGTTACCTGCTTTAGCAACCACCTGTCTGTAAAGATCACATATTTTGTTTTCCTTGAACAGTGTTTCATATTGAAACCTGTACTAAAGAAACCTGCACATACATTTGTAAAAACCACCTGTCTGTAAAGACTGATACTCCTGTCTCTCCTGAGTGGTCTTTATATACAGATCTCACTGTATATCTTTGTTGGAAGACTCGTTTCAAAGATCAAGGCTTATCTAGGCACATTGCAGTGGGAATCCCCCGAGAAGTAGATTTGTTTTCATACCATCTAGTCCAAATTGGACCCGTGTAAATATATTTCATCTTGTACAATAAATTAATGATACCTGTCTATTTTTGTGCACCAAAGTTGTAAATTCATGTAAAATATCAATAATGTAAAATATGATCTAGATAAAAAGAGCACAGGAAATGGTCAGAATATTGGCTGTTAGAGAGGAAAGTTTGCATATTTTTGTTCAAGACTGAGACGTATCATTGTTTAAAAAAAATTGTAAGTGAATGTTCGGGTTTGTGTTTTGGGGGTTATTTTTTGAGATATTTGGTAGAGAAGGCTAGATGTAATTCTGAGCTAGTTGTAGAGTAGAAAAAAATTCAGAATAATTACACATTTGAAGTAAAACAAATTCAGAATTGGCTGATAGCATGTAAGATAACTATTTGTTACTGAGAACCAAATCCTTTGAAAGCCAAAGAGTTAAATGTATAATATTTCATAGACACCACACATGACAAATTTTTTGGTGAGCCCTCAAAGCTTTTTGTCTAATTTCTTTGATTCAATGATTAATTGGAAGTAACTAGCAACACTAAATTACTTTTTTCTTCTTCAAGTGAAATATTTAACAAATCACATTAGAAACGATAACTTGTTTTTCTAAGGATTTCATTTTTTATCTGAATCCTACACCATTATATCATGTAAAAATTGGGAACTTTAATATTCAATCTCTAAATTATTATTTGGACCAAATCAAAAAGTGAGAAAATTACTTCATGATCATTGATTTTATAATTGTTTTATTTGCTGTACAAAAGGAGTGGACCGAGTGATGGAATTTCATTATTACTTCTAAAATATGTAAAAAGTATGAATGCAAGATTAGAAATAAATAAGGGTTGGCAGTGCACAAATTTGTAAATAAGATGGTATATAAAGTAAAGACAACTTGAACATAGAAAGCACTTTTTTCCTTGGCTAAAAGACCTTCAATTCTTAATTCTCATGGTATGTAAAATTGTAAATGTTACATGATAATGGAAAGAAGTTTTGACCATATCTGTGAAAAGCACTGCAAAATAATAACATTTTTGCTTGAAGGCAAGATCAATTATAAGAGCCTCAGCCATCAACATTTGGTGCTTTGAGACATTCATAATCTTTATTAGAAATTGGGGCTTAAACATGTTTTATTACTATGGTAGCTAGTGACCTGTTATTCGTCTCATAATTGTAGCTCTTTGTAAATAAGTCCTGAGAAATTTGGTGCCAAGTGATATGTACATACTAGCAAAATATATCTGAGGTTTTCCAAGACAATCCATGTATACAATAGTAAAACAAAACAGATATTGGCAAATTTCAAATTAAGTACTGTTCCAATTTGATGTTGTGTGTTTACTATGTTCATGTTGGTTTTAATATGCCATTGTTCCGGGCTTGTTAAAGTTTCTTACAGTGGCCGTTTCCTTGTATTTTTCCACTCAGAATATTTGTTAGAGAAATCATGTACATCAAGTTTAATGTCGAAAGAATACGTTGGAAGTTTAACTCGGAGATGTCATGGTATAGATTTTTAAAACAAAGCCTTTCAAGATTGTTCGATGTTGGAAATTCAATAAAGAAAGTTTACATTTCTTGTTGCTCAAAACACTTTGTCTTTGCACTTATTATTTATTTCTGTTTGTCGCTGTACAGGGTGAGTCAGAAAAAATGTCCCGCTTTTTAAATGTTGTATTGTTTGAAGTATGAATATTTAATTATGGGTTTCATGATATGACTTGATAGAGTTATCCTCCCAGTACAGTTAGGTACCATTTTCATTTGAATCCCTTCATGCATGACTGAACATCAGACAATCTTTACAAGACTGCCAGATTTCACTTGCGCCAACTTACTGGGTGAGGAATAAAACAGTGCATTAAACAAAGACAGTCAGACACATACACACACACACATACGCACACAAACACACGCACACAGGCACACACTCGCACACAAATACCGCAAACGTCGGTGAATAAAAACACAAACAATTTTTGTATTTGTTGAGGTATTTTATTGTGGTACAACAATGAATCTGTTTCCCCAAATTTCTCCATCCTCCGTACTCAATCCTCGACGTGGCCGCCATTCCTCCTGATGCACAGTTGTGCACGGTGAACTATTCTTGAAAAGCTCGCCGGATCATGTCCCCATCTTGGCGTACGACGTCTGTCTCGTCCACGATTCTCCTCCGAAGCTCCTCGATGTTCTCAGGTGGGCTGCTGAAGATCCTTGACTTCAAGTGCCCCCACAAGAAGAAGTCGAGAGGATTCATGTGCACTTTATGATGATGATGAGGATGATGATGATAATGATGATGATTAAGATTAAGATGATGACGATGATGATATGATGGTGGTAGTGAATGTGTACTAAAGGGAAAGATTGTCAGGGAAATGCCTCTTAAACATTGCTTAATCAGAAATTATGAGACAATTGTAACCGTGTGTGTTGTCTGTGTTTGTGTGTGTGTATGTGTGCGCGCGTGTGTGCGTGTGTATGTGGGTGTATGTGTCTGACTGTCTTTGTTTAATGCACTGTTTTATTCCTCACCCAGTAAGTTGGCGCAAGTGAAATATGGCAGTCTTGTAAAGATTGTCTGATGTTCAGTCATGCGTGAAGGGATTCAAATGAAAATAGTGCTAAATGTACTGGGAGGATAACTCTATCAAGACATATCATGAAACCCCTGATTAAATAGTCAAACTTCAAACAATACAACTTTTAAAAACTGGGACATTTTTTCTGACTCACCCTGTAGAAGGAATGAGATGCCCTCTCATGAAATAATTTTTCTTCTTCCAGTACTAATTATGCTAATAAACGTTCTAGTATAGTGTATATTTCATTATGACAACCCTATGCGCTTCCAAAGGAATTTCAGCTCTGGCATTCCTCAAGGGTCTGTCCTAGGACCACTGTAGTTCATCCTGTACACTGGTCCGTTGAGTGCGGTCATCTCTTCCCATCGGGACATTCATCATGTCATGTACGCCGACGTCACCCAGTTCTGTATGTGACCATGACATCCAAAGATCACGTAGGCTCTATGCATGAACTGAGCGAGTGCGTCTCCGATGTCATGTCCTGGTCTTCTTAGAATAAACTCAAGTTAAATCAATCTAAGACTGAGGTACTACACATCACCTCGCAGTTTAGAAGTTCTTGCAGTCTGCCGTGCTTGGATGCTGCTGGCGTTGAAATCGTACCTTCAAAAGTAGTTCGTAACCTCGGCGTCACTGTTGATAATGTACTGAATATGAAACAACACATCAGGAATACTTGTCGGACGGCTGCCTTTGGTATCTCCAGGATTAGTAAACTTCGAAAATATTTGGACAGACAGTCTACAGAACGGTTGATCCACGCTTTTGTGACTTCCCATTTAGATTATTGTAACGGATTGTACTTTGGCTCACCAGATTCCACCATTTCTCCACTCCAACGTATTCAGAACATGGCAGCCCGTCTCATTACCAAAACCAGAAAATATGAACACATAACTCCTATTCTTAGATCTCTTCATTGGCTACCTATTTTAACTCGCATTCAATTTAAGATTCTTTTGTTAGTATCGAAAATTAAACATGGTTATGCTCCATCACATTTAAACGACCTTCTCAAACCTATTGTTTCATCACGTTCATTACGGTCAACTACACATGCATGGGTGTCGATCCCGGGGGGGGGGGGGGGGGGATGGGGGGGGGGGGATATATCCCCCCAAATATTTCAGGTGGGGGGGGGGGGGGGGGGATGGCCTGTACAATCATCCCCCCAATAATTCACCATCAAAAAAAAAAAAAAAAAATGAAGAGAAAAATTAATGATGAGAGCCCGATGAGAGTAGTTCAGGGGCGGCCCTCCCGGGGGGCAGGGGGGCACAGTGCCCCCACTTTTTCAGATACCCCAAAAGCG